AGATCTTCAAGTGATGATGTTGCGAATCACGAGTGTAGTAATAGTGCTTTAGATCAAGAAGGTGTTACTGGTAGTGAGACAATTGATAGGGTGCTTAATGATGGTGAGCCGTCAGAGTATGGTTCACAGGTGTTGTCTCGAACCACTACTGGACTGCCTCGATTACGTGTGAAGGTTGGTTGTGAACATCTTGTTCTTGATGCTATGCTCGATTCAGGATCGACGAATGTCTTTCTTTCGTCAGAATGTTGTGATCAATTAGTTCGTGCCGAACCTTCCTTAATGTTAGAGTTATGTCCACGATCCGTCAAAATGGTGAATGGATCAGCCTGCTTACTTCGTGGTGTTATACGAGGCTTACTACTACAACCAATTGGAGGTCAGCGACAGTGTGTGGATGCCTATGTATTGTCTTCATGTAATCATGATATGATACTACCCCGAGATGTTCTTGGACGATGTGTATGGTTGATGAATGAAAGTGGTGATGATGTTATCATATTTGGGGATAGAGCTGAGAAGGTGCTGAAGAGTACTATCCCAGATACTGATATCATTCTCCCTAAGAACTCCCATACTGTTGAAGTGAATGGTGTTGAGGTAGGACCGAACCCATTATCGAATTTCGATAATGGGGGAGTTTCGCCATCTGAGAGGGTTTGTGTCTCTATTCCGTGGAAATCTGATGCTCGACCAGATCAGAATTTCGCTGTTGTCCGACGGCGAATGCAAAATGTTTTGGCACGACTTGGTCGAGATCCTCTTAAATTGGCTGCCTATCAGAAAGCGGTGAAGGAGTTGTTGGCATCGGGTGCTGTTGAGGTTATGAAGAGTGACGAAAATCCTGAGGAGTTTGCTTCCTTTTATACTCCACTAACTCCAGTTATTGATGAGACTAGAGTCAGTACTAAGTGTAGGTTGTGTCTTGATGCTCGACCTTTGAATACCTACACGGAGTTACGAGGTGTTGAGGATCCTTCAGTGGTACCAAAGAGTCTCGATCTCTATGCTTCTATTATACGATGGCGAAGTATGCGTCGTGTGAGTTGTGAAGATCTCCAGAAGGCCTTTTGGCAGGTTGAAGTTAAGAGTGATGATCGTCCCTTTTTGGGTATGATTTTAGACTCGAATACTATAGTAAGATGGGTCAGAGTTCCCTTTGGCTGTGGATGGAGTCCTTGGGCTTTGTCTTATGGTATTCAAGTGGCCATGAATGATGTTGTGGATACGATGGCTCGCTCTAGTTTGGACTATTATGTTGATGATTCGTGTATATCATCCTCTAGTAAGGCTGATGTTGAGCGGAGTCGATCGATCATCATTCCTGCATTGGCGCTTCGTGGTTTTGTAACAAACCCTGAGAAAAGAGCTCATAATTTGGATACTTGTGGTAATGTTATTGGTGTTGGAGCCTTTGTTGAGGACGTTTTGGCCTCTACTACTCATAGTTGGTTAGGGTACCGTTGGTATGTTGATGACAGTGTAGATGTGGTAGATATTCGATTACCAGATTTCGACCTACCTACTACATTGTCGATGAGTATTCTGCGGTCTACAGTGGCTAGGTTATTTGATCCTTTGGGACTTTGGAATGAAGTTGTTCTTGAACTACGAGTACTTTTGCGTGGCCTGCATGATCAAGGTTTTGGGATACGTAAAGGTGGTGTTATTATTAAGGATCTTTTGGTTGGTGAAGCTGAGGTTCATGCTCGATCGTGTATTGACTCAATACTCAATACTATTGAGGGATGTAATAATTACCTCCGATCGAACCGCTACCTTCCTCCTCGTTATATTGATATGAGTGATATTGTTTGTTTTTGTGATGCCAGTGATTTGGCTGTGGCTACTGATTGTCGAGATCGTAAGCAAGGTCAAAGAATTTTTAGTCGCTTGAGTACTCATGTCGGTGGTACTATACCACGTCGTGAGTTAGAAGCTGTCCGGATCGGCATTCTAAGTGTCGAGCAATTATCAAGTGCCATTGGGCACCGAGTTCCGATTCGTCGATGTGTAATCGCCAGCGATTCCTTGGTCTCTCTTTATCGTATTCGTTCGATACTTCTACTCAAGGATAGTTCTAAATCTAAGTTTGATAAGGTTGGTAAACCAGAGCAGCGACGTCTTATTCATATTTACGATTTAGTCCATCGTATTTTGACTGAGAACAATGATATGGTATTGGAATTCCGTCATGTTTCTTCGAGTCAGAATGTGGCTGATCGGTTGACCCGTCCTAGCTCTCTGCTCTGTGATGAAGACCATAAGTGGCAATCAATTAGTAATGTTCTCGACGGTTCTTCAATAATGTGCTTCAATGTATCACTGGATGATCTACAAGAAGACGGTTGTCCCTTTTTGGTACAGGGTGATGATATTGATGAGGATTGCTTAGAGTTGTTTTCGCCACCTTCTCCTGCATGTAATGCTGTTACTATTGAGGAAAATTCCTCATGGTTTGCTGAATTCCGGAAACGGGTTTTAGTGTGTCAAAGTGCTGATCCTGAATGTGTTCATTTAGCTTCTTTATTACGTGCTAATCCATCTTGCTCTCAGTCCCGTTTCCATCATCTTGATGAAGAGACCGGTATGTTATTAATCCGGCAATTCAAGGATGATGGTCCCGACTGTTGGGTTGCTAAGGTTCCAGAAGGTTCTTCTTTACAAGAAGAAGTCATTGAGAAAATTCACAAGGAGTACATTCATCCTGGTATCAAGAAGACGGTACGTCTTATTCGCCGTCACTGTGACTTCAAGGGTCTTCATACTGCTGTGAAGCGATATATTAGGGCATGTGATGTGTGCTGCAGAGCTCGTGAAGGAAGAATGATTGTGAAGGGTTTTGCTACGGCTAAGCTGGTAGCACCAGTGATATTTGGTGTAGTGGGATTGGATCTATATGGACCATTACGTTTAAAGGGAAGCATTAAGGTATGGCTCTTGGTGATGGTTTGCTATGTCAGTAAATGGATGGCTGTGAAGATACTCGAGGTACCTGATGTTGATCATGTGTTAGCGTCAAGTATGGAACTATTCTACGAGAGTGGTGTACCTAATATGGTCCTAACCGATCAAGGATCAGTGTTCACAGCATCCAGGTATCGACAATTTTTAGCGGAGCATTCTATCATGCATACTTATACCTTTCCGTATGAAGAGACTCGACGAGGATGGCTAGAGCGACCTCATAAAGAGATAGGGGTTATGTTACGTTGTCTTCAAGTTGAATCTGGGAGCAAGCTGGAAGATCTTAACATCAATGAGTTGCGGATGTGGGTCTGCCGGCTGTGTTATGTTCATAATAATATGGCGTTTGATGAAGATGCTAATGACAAGGAATTAACTCCGTGGTTGTGTAATAGAGTTACCAGAAGTCTAGATGATGTTTTATCCCCTCTACAAGATGAAGATCTCGAGAAGATTCGTGGGTGGTTATCATCAGGGTTGTGCCTTGATGACTGTTATAATTTGCTGGATAGTGCAACGAAAGAATTGCACGAACTCTGGTCTACGTCCGTTGAGCATATGAAGGAGTTGTGGTTGGAACGACGATCTGAAGTGAGGAAACGTCTTGCTCGTCATCGTAAGAGGGATATGTTGAAGATTGGTGATATTGTGTGGAGGCGTAATATGCCTGTGAAGAAGTTGGGCGAGCTTTTCTCTGGTCCCTTTGAGGTTATTGGTCGTGATGGGTCTACTATCAAGATTAAGGATGTTAACAGTGGTGACCAATTAAGTTGTCCGGTTGAGATGCTTAAGAGAGGAAGACGTGGACGAGCTCGACCTATAGTGGAGTCATTTATGAAGGATGCCGCTGTACAGGCTGCTGAAGATGGTCCTGACAAAGTTATTAATCCTGATGATGTTGCTAGACTTGCTAAGACTTTGGTCAATGATTCTGGTGTGATGACTCGTTCCGAACGAGTCGTTCGAAGAAACGTCTCTTGGAATCTGTATCAAGGCTTGCTGATACGAATAAGATAGCTCGTACTAAGTGATGGAGCGGATCTCTAACTGATCTAAGCCAGGAGGCTTGGGGGAGTGTGACGAGATCCGGTGTTTTCATTTTAGCTGCTCTGGTATCCTGTGATTATGATGTGTTGATGTTGTGATGCTGACACTTGCAATCTCGTTATATCCTATTGTGTAGATACTTTAGCTTTAGCGTTACGCTATGTACGCTAGTTTGAAACGGCTGTTAGTTGTTATAAGTAAACAAATTAAGATAGTGGTTGAACGGTTACTCCAGTACCTCTTCTACTAGTATTACTGCTTGTGTTCTGAGTTCATATCTGTACAGGCTGAAGGTTTATCCGGGGGTAAAAGGTGTGTTAACCTCATAACCTAAAGTACCTTGCTTAGTATCTGGTTATGTCATGATGGGCGCTCCGTAGCTCATTGAGATCGAAATGATTCCATAACTCAAGTTGGTTCATCATATTGTTATTTCGAGTTTCTTGTCTCAAGTTGGTTGGGAGACGCTAACCTATGTCAGGTCACATGAGCCATATTCCGTGACATAGTTTGTGTGACCAGACATGATCTGTGAACCCAGAGCCCAAAGTAAGATCCTGTGATCGGACTTGGGCTTCACAGTGTTTGGTCCTCTCCCACACTCCCGACCAATACCCAGTCAATGAACAGATGTCTTTCGGGATGACGAACCAACCTTGGTTAGTAACCAATGGTTACTCTGCCACAGGAGATGTATATGACTCATATGATATGAGTAGACACGAAATACTCGGAAGTTCGCAAGTTAATTATCGAACACAAACCATGAGGATTCCATCCTCGTAGAAGTCGAGATGGCCGACTCCGGACATCTCCCGTCCCCGTTGGGCAGGTGCAACAGACAGTGAGATGGCTAACATCTCAGCCATATTGCGGCCCGATGGACCGTGGCAGCGGGCGGTGGCTCATAGTAATAGATATTGCCGATATCTCGGTCATCCTCTTGCCCCACTGGACCGATGTAACAACTAGTTACTCACAGTACTTGGAATGGCCGATTTGTCAGCCACTTCTTGGCCTCACTGGACCCACACAACACTCAGTTGCTTACAGTACTTGGAGTGGCCGATTCCTCAGCCACTTCCTGGCCCCACTGGACCGACGCAACACTCAGTTGCTCACGGTACTCGGAATGGCGATTCCTCAGCCCATTCTCGGCCCCACTGGACCGACGCAACACTCAGTTGCTTACAGTACTTGGAGTGGCCGATCCCTCAGCCACTTCCTGGCCCCACTGGACCGACGCAACTCTCAGTTGCACACAGTACTTGGAATGGCCGATTACTCAGCCACTTCTTGGCCCCACTGGACCCTCGCAACCCGTAGTTGCTCATAGCACTCGAAATGGCCGATTTCTCAGCCACTTACCGGTCCCACTGGACCCTCGCAAACTGTAGTTGCTCATAGTACTTGAAATGGCCAATTTCTTAGCCACTTACCGCCGGTAAGTTACCGGTCCGGCTGGACCGCGTTCTCGATGGAGAACGTTGGGGATGGACAACGTCCGTTAGAAGTGAACGAGGTGAGAGTTTCCACTTCCACCCTCGAACGCAAGCGCTAGTCATATCGTAGTGTCTCACGGTGGTTAGACTGGTTGATTTCCTTTTTCGACCATCTCTCAGGCCCGCTGGGCCGGTAGACTACCTACCGTGGACAAATAACGCTCCCGACAGAGGACGTTAAATATATAGGCATGAACGGGGTGGGAGTATACACTTCCACTCTCGTCGCACACGAGCGCTAGTCACCCCATAGGAACTCATACAGTATGAGTCATACTTGGAATGGCCGATCTCTCGGCCACTTCCCGGCCCCACTGTGCCGAATCAACAAGTAGACTACCCAACGTAGTCGGATATACGCCTCCGCAGAGGACGGCAAAGCGCATCAGGCCAGTGGTGCATTGCTGCTCCACATGGCAACAAGGAATTATTAGGTTAAGTTCCGTGGGATGACCACACATGTATCTTGCACGCATGTGTGCGTATGCACGTACAGATTGTGTGCTCTTCGCGGTGCGTTCCAGGTTTGCATAGTCTCTCGTTACTGAGGTGATTTCACTGCCGCAACGCTTCGCTAAGCTCTCAAGAAGCGTACAATTTGATACATATTAAAGTCACTACCCGAATTTGAACCGGGGTGTCACGGCCACAACGTAACGTCCTAACCACTAGACGATAGCGACTCAAAGAAATATGAGCTGCTGTCCGTCGACGTGGATCACCTATAACTAAACCTCTTCAAGAAGCGTACAATTTGATACATGTCAAAGTCACTATCCGGATTTGAACCGGGGTTGTCACGGCCACAACGTGACGTCCTAACCACTAGACGATAGCCACTTAAAAATGTGGGCCGCTGTCGGTCTACATGGATCACCTATCGCTAAACCTCTTCAAGAAGCGTACAATTTGATACATGTCAAAGTCACTACCCGGATTTGAACCGGGGTTGTCACGGCCACAACGTTACGTCCTAACCACTAGACGATAGCGACTCAAAGAAATATGAGCTGCTGTCCGTCGACGTGGATCACCTATAACTAAACCTCTTCAAGAAGCGTACAATTTGATACATGTCAAAGTCACTTCCCGGATTTGAACCGGAGTTGTCACGGCCGCAACGTGACGTACTAACCACTAGACGATAGCGACTCAAACAAACATGAGCCGTTGTCGGTCGACGTGGATCACCTATAACTAAACCTCTTCAAGAAGCGTACGATTTGATACATATCAAAGTCACTACCCGGATTTGAACCGGGGTTGTCACGGCCACAACGTGACGTCCTAACCACTAGACGATAGCAACTCAAAAATGTTGGCCGTTGTCGGTCCACATGGCTCACCTATCGCCAAACCTCTTCAAGAAGCGTACAATTTGATACATATCAAAGTCACTACCCGGATTTGATCCGGGGTTGTCACGGCCACAACGTAATGTCCTAACCACTAGACGATAGCGACTCAAACAAGCATAAGCCGTTGTCGGTCGACGTGGATCACCTATGACTAAACCTCTCCAAGAAGCGTACAATTTGATACATATTAAAGTCACTACCCGAATTTGAACCGGGGGTGTCACGGCCACAACGTAACGTCCTAACCACTAGACGATAGCGACTCAAAGAAATATGAGCTGCTGTCCGTCGACGTGGAACACCTATAACTAAACCTCTTCAAGAAGCGTACAATTTGATACATGTCAAAGTCACTACCCGGATTTGAACCGGGGTTGTCACGGCCACAACGTGACGTCCTAGCCACTAGACGATAGCGACTCAAAAATGTGGGCCGTTGTCGGTCTACATGGATCACCTATCGCTAAACCTCTTCAAAAAGCGTACAATTTGATACATGTCAAAGTCACTACCCGGATTTGAACCGGGGTTGTCACGGCCACAACGTGACGTCCTAACCACTAGACGATAGCGACTCAAACAAGCATAAGCCGTTGTCGGTCGACGTGGATCACCTATGACTAAACCTCTTCAAGAAGCGTACAATTTGATACATGTCAAAGTCACTACCCGGATTTGAACCGGGGTTGTCACGGCCACAACGTGACGTCCTAACCACTAGACGATAGCGACTCAAACAAGCATAAGCCGTTGTCGGTCGACGTGGATCACCTATGACTAAACCTCTTCAAGAAGCGTACAATTTGATACATGTCAAAGTCACTACCCGGATTTGAACCGGGGTTGTCACGGCCACAACGTGACGTCCTAACCACTAGACGATAGCGACTCAAACAAGCATGAGCCGTTGTCGGTCGACGTGGATCACCTATCACTAAACCTCTTCAAGAAGCGTACGATTTGATACATATCAAAGTCACTACCCGGATTTGAACCGAGGTTGTCACGGCCACAACGTGACGTCCTAACCACTAGACGATAGCGACCCGAAGAAGTATGGGCCGCTGTCGGTCGACGTGGATCACCTATCACTAAACCCCTTCGAGAAGCATACAACTCGATGCATATCAAAGTCACTATCCGGATTTGAACCGGGGTTGTCACGGGCACAACGTGACATCCTAACCACTAGACGATA